GGTTGATCTATTTGCTCATAGATCTTGGAGTTAACCATAGCAGCACTGCAACTCTCTATTGTGACAGTAAATCAGCAATTGCCATTGATGAAAACCCAGTTTTTCATGAACGTACTAAACATATAGAGTTGGATTGGCACTTGGTCAGAGAAAAATTAAGCAAAGGCATCATAAAATTATTGCATGTTACTTCTGAAAATCAGCTAGCAGATACTTTCACCAAAAAGCTCATTGTCCTGCATCCTTTAACTGCTATATATTCAAGCTTGGATTGATTAACTTCTACAATCCAGCTTGCGCGCGGTGGCGGCTTGGGGGGGGGGGTGGTATTAGGAGATCAAGAAGATCAAAGGCATCACACTATGACACATGGCAGCATCTAGGCAGCATCCAATAGTCCATTTTCTGTTATGTTAGTTAGGATTCTTTTCTTTGTTTTTCCCTCCTTAGTCTTGTGTATAAGAACAACTGTTCATCTTCTCTGTATTTGGTTGGTTAATACAATTCTTATTTCCTTTCAATCGCTTCTCTTCACTTTGTAAAAATATTTAGTATTTTCCCTGTCTCATTTTATCTGTTTTACTTACTATTATTCATTGGTCAAACCAACTCTTTATTCTTTGCTTATTTTCTTTAGCATTTTTTTTGCTTATTTTTAAATTTATTTTTTTGTGTGTTTAATAGTACTTTTAGTGTAGTTTCTAAATATATAGATTTTGTATACTAACACTAAACTTAATATTATGAAAAATTCTTCCAAAATAACTTTAGTCAAACCTCGTTAATCGAACCAGACATATAAAACGGGACGGAGGGAGTATAAAGCAATGTGTAAAAAAGATAATGCATATTTTTTCCATAATATATAATGCGTGCATTTTAGATATGTATGCATTTTTAGTCTAAAACAATGTTAATCTATTCCCAAATAATGTTGATTTTTTCAAAAATGATGTGAAATTTTTTTAAAAAATTTACAAAAATATCACTACATCTTTCATTCAAACATATATTATTTTAGGAATAAGGGTCAAATAGACCATCCAACTTCACACCAAATTGTTAAGCACCTTGTGCTCAGATGGCATATAGTGACCTCTCTCATGTGGGAGGTCATGAGATCAAGCCTTAGTGGAGGCGTTGTTGACTCTGTGTGCTTCATTAGGTTGAGAAAGTATGTTTGAACACATACTACAATGTAATAGAGTCAGTAGCATTCAAAAAAACTACACACCAATTGTAATTAGGCCGCTGTACTCAAAAAAATCACAATTGTGCAATTTAACCACCTTCGATTGATGAAGGGGTTCGTCTTCGGCCAGCCATGGAGACGGTCTCCTTCGTCTATATGGCAAGCCTTAAAAAAAAAAAAAAAAAAAAAAACCTTTTTTGCATTGTTTAGGAAGGGGCAAGCCTTTTTTAAAAAACAATTTAAAATAATTATTTTATTTAAAATTATTAAAATAAAATTGTAAAATATTATTTTTAAATAAAGGAACAGACACGTCAGCATATTAACATGTAAACAAGTTATTTTATGTTAAATTGTATGAATTTGCATTGTTTAGGAGCTCAATTGTAATTTTTTTGAATTCAATAGCCTAATTGCAATTTGGTGGGTAGTTAAATGACCTATTTGACCTTTATTCCTTTATTTTAACATAACCTCAAAATCAAATGTGATACTAAAACCATATTAATTGGGTTATCTTAAAAGTCATGTTTTATAATAATATAATCATGCTCAGGTTACTATAGTTATCTTATATACTTGAACCAAATATCATAAATCATAAAATACTAATAATTACACTTGCATTTATATGATCTGTATTAGGTGATCAAGATTCAATTAAACATGGGATATTTATAAACGTAGTCAAAAAAATCACATTTCATCAATCGTCTGTGTATTATATAAGTTGTGATCTCTATGTATATATAAATATATCATAGACTTGGTTTTACTCATAAAATAAATTAAAATTGTACTTTTTTTCATAGTATTCACCATGAATGTACTTTTCACTCAACCAATTCAATGTCAAAAAATTGGTGAGAATGACATGGATGAAGAAGTTTTGACCAAGCTTGCTTTAGGTTGTGCCAAATTTGTTCTGGATGATCCATCAATACAAAATTTTGAAATCAAGACACAGTCGGTAAGTTTTCATATTATTGTATGTTTTCAAAACCACGTTACTGTTTAATTTTATTTGGAAATAACAATACCCACATTTTATTACTTTATAAAATATGATAAAATATGAAGATTAAATACAAATGCTTAATTTAAAGGATGTAAATCCTTATACTTGGATCCATTTTCTTGTACTGTGTTCAATGTATTGTTATGGATCAAAATTTGATTTATTCAATTTTATTTTTGTCTATGGCTTTCATGGTGATGATGTTGAAACAGAGACTTATGTATTTGAGTCTTCTATACATTTGGTATTGAACACCATTTTACTAGCAATTTTCTTTTTCTAGAATATCCTTTTTAGTCAAATTCAATAAATCTTATTTTTATTTAAGTTTTTTACAACATTCCTTATTTGATTTTATTTAATTATTTCAAATATATGTACTGTGGAGAAAATTTGGAGTTTTGTACATAATCCATATAATTTTTAAAAAGAAAAGTAGTTTAACATTGTTGGAAACATAATTCTGTGGATCATGAATATATGGTACATTTTTAATATACGAAAAGTACATTATTTGTGAACTGAATGCACATTATTTAGTAGTATATAAAAAAATATATACTTCCAATACTTATATAATGTACTTTATGTACACAAATAATGTACTTGTAATATATTACAAATGTACTTTTTATTTATGGTCCACACAGCTGTGTGGACCATGATCTATATAATAATAATGGACATTGTTGTATACCATGATCTTATATCTTAAAAAGATATTTTTTTTCCATTTAAATATAGTTTATGATATGATGCACAAAAATGGAGCGCTATGCTGTGGAATCGTGCCCACCTTGCAAGGTGGGCACGAGGTAGATTCATAATTTCTATACTGTAGATTCATAATTTTTATACTGTAGATTCATAATATAGTTATTGATTTGTGAATACAAAGTTCAACAATTGGGAATATGAACATCGAAAATTATGAACATATAGCTCTATAATTATGAACATATATTTATAAAATTATGAACATATAGCTCTATAACATGTTCACAAACCTAATACTGTAGATTCATAATTTCTATACTGTAGATTCATAATTTCTGTACTGTAGATTCATAATATCTGTACTGCGAAGAGAGAAACGCCGTTAACGACAAGTGAAATTTATTTATTTTAATTAGAACAACATCGTTTTCGTTGAAAACGACACCGTTATGAAATTGTGCCGACCTTGCAAGGTGGGCACGATTCCACGGCATAATTTGCCCACTAAAATTACTAAAGATATCTTCTTTTAAAAAATGTTTCTTTTATAAAACTCCTTGAAACGCATTGGAAAATTTGTATATTGGTTTCTAATAAAATATAAGTTTCTGGAATAGTTTCGGACCATTTTGAAATTCAGTCCCAAGAAAAAAAACCTTTTACATGGTCCAATTTTTTTTTTTTTTTCAAATCTTGGGTGAAAATATGAAAAACCTCAATTTTTATACAATCATTTAATACAACATGAATTTAAATAATTTTTTAATTATTATTTTTAATTTGGGTCTTAAAAACTTAGTTCCAATTGTTATCAATTTTATTTTCTTGCAATAACCTATATTTTATTTCCTTTAGGTCACATACATACAGAAAAATAATTAAATGTAAATATACATATAACTTCTTGATATATAGGCAAAGATGTTGGAGCATGGGAAAGGAAATAAAGACCGTGACTGGAATTCTAAAGGCACAGGAGTTTTTCATCCTCGTAACACATTTTCTCAAAATTCCCTCCCTAAGTCTCATTTTGGAACTGGAGTGTTTTTAGGAATGTCACCAATCAATGGCAATCAAAAGAAAAATAGTAAGTTGAAGTTTTAATATATATATATATATATTGGTTATTCAATGTCTATATTTATGAAATAACACAGGTATAGCACACAAATTGCCCATAAACTAATGAAATGATTTACATCATGTTAGAAATGTAATCCATTATTAGTTGGAAGTCTAACATTTTAAATGTTTTGTTTTGTATATTTTTAGAGCTGAAGAAGGAGAAGAATGTGCAAACAAGTCATCCAAAGAAGGAAGTCGAGGAAAAAAATGAGTCATTTGAGCTATTTAATGACATCTACTTGCCATCAGAATGGCTATACTAAGTTTAGACTATACATCTAAGTTGTAGAATGTTATCAGATGGGAAATATTGTACCAAATAAAATATAATAATTTAATCAAAATATTATTTGTGTTATAAATATAATTAAGTGTGGACATTATAAGTTGATTATGTAACTGTTGTATCGGCGGTATTTATGTCAACCATTATTTGCTTCCGTTACAAATGTATATTATATATATGTATTGTTGTCATATGTAACGTTGATGTGAATGAATGAAAATCCTCTCCTCTCCCTTTACACTTCTTCTCTAATATGTATTGTTTTGAATAATGTTTAGTTTACAACACGTTATCAGCAAATGTTCTACTTCATCCAGAAAGGAATTTGATCGTCATCTTGTATGCAGTGATTTTCTCCAAGGAATTTGAAATGTTGCGAATGTATTTTGAATTTTGAACTAAATTGCAGTGCCCAAAGCAACGACGAACTTTGACCCGTTGGACGGAAAATTCATATGGTAACTCACATTTTAAAATGAAAATTTCTGTCCAACTTTGAACCGTTGGACGAAAATTGTGACCAGCAAGTTGGCATGAATTTGTAATCAGTGATTGACAGGAAAATCTAAATTTATATAAAAAAAAATTTTTGATATTGCTATAATTATATTTTACCTGTTATCAATACATTCTATATCATAAACAAAGTAATGTACACACTGTTTAAATTTAAAATGAAAATACTTAAATATCAAAATTATTTACAACCAAAAGATAGTATCGTGTGCATAAATATTTAAGCAATGCATTATTGCCATACACACCAAAAGAAGTCATAAAAACATCAAGTACTTAATCTTTATCAGAAGGAGCTTGTGTTTCATCATTTAGTGAGCTGGAGTTGTTCAAGTTTAAAGAACTTAACAACTCAGGATTTGCACTGAATAATTGTGCAAATATAGTACCCATCTTTTCAAGTTCTTCTTAAATAATCTTGTTTTCTTCCCTCATTTGCTGAATTTCTGCCATCAAAGTTGCATTTGAAGATGACGCTCAAGCCTAAGATTTTGATTTCTTTGAAGCTTCAGGAAATCAGCAAAGACAAGCAAACAAAAGTTAAACAAAAATCAACTACAACTCGAATAAAAATTGGGGAAAACACAGAAAATTCAACGAAATGTGAGAGGAAAAGATATATAAGTAAATGAATTTCATACTATATAACTTTAATCAGAGATTCACAAATGTTTTCTAAAGCCTATATTCAGAGAAGCTATTTTTAAAATATTTGCCTTTTATCCACTTGGTCGAAACAAACACCAAATTGTGCAGACTCATGTGCTCACTAGTTGTACTCAATTTACAGTATCGTTACCCTTTGTAAGATAAAGATGCCAATGCTGACTCAAACTGGAGTATATAGTTCAAGAACTGCAAAAATAGATTGGTCATCTTTTATACACAAAAGGATTCATGAATTGATTGCTCTAGCCTCTAGTGTACAACTCTTAAAATAAATAAAGAATTTGATCAGAAACAAACCTTTGTTTCCTCTAGCTCCTTGCAAATTGATTTCTGCAGAAATATTAAACAATAAATAAATCACTTCAATCTCAGAGCATAATGTAAGGTCAAGTTTCAGATACAGTATATTAACCATCAGAACTGTGCAGTTACAAATATCAGGATGTATTTTCATGACTGTACAACATCTCATAAACTTCAATCTGGACAATGCTTTGAAGAAACCAAGTGTGTCCATGAGTGGTAAGCAGCAGAATAAAATTTATTCACCATATCCCCATCAATTGTTAATAGCAGTACTAGTGTTCTCTATTCCCATCAATTGTTTAGCCTTTAACCATTTTACATTCCAGCTTACATATAAACAGATCATGTGAAATATTTGAAGCCAAAATCATCTTCAAGAAGTATTATCATAGGGGAGCAAAGGTCTCATACCTACTCACCATATTTAAGGTCAAACTTAGCAACAACAATAACATATACATGCTAATTATAAAGTAAAGATAAGCACAATCTCCTCAATGCTCATATACATGCTAATTATAATACTGTTGAAATGAATACTAAGTTAATGACTGAGATACAAGCACTTTAAACTAATACACATCATGTTATTTAGCTGGACTCTTCTCATCGAGAATATGCATAGAGTATATGATGTTTAAAACAACTAGAAATGGCAACATTAGATGGTCTTGTGCATCAATCTAATTAATTTTAATGGTCATTTCTAGTTGACATTGACTGGAGCCTAGATACTACTTCAAAGACATCAGCTCTCTTCCATGAGCAAGCAAGCGACCGAGTGGTATACGAGCAACGAAACAAGTAGCCAAGAAGTCTACAAGTGACGGAGGCAGTCGGCCGGGTGAGTGGTGATTTAGCATTTAGCATGACACTCAATTGTTAAATCCAGGAGGCAGAGTCAGGATTAGATGGTGCGGGGAGACCAATCACAATTCAAGAGAGAATAATCAAATACATTAATATACATTTAACATATTTTAAAATACATCATTACATTACAAATCTACTAAAATTTAGAACGCAACATCTCTTTCATGTACAAAGTGATTCATGATGTAATTATTTTAAATGTTATGTGCTTAAAATCATAAGTGAATTACATCTTGTTACTTTGTCTAAAGCAAAAAAATTGTAAAATATATATTTTTTGAAAGGAAATTGTAAAATATTTGATGATGATGACTTCTCATAACTTGAGAAAATGTATTTTAGAGATTTTGAATGGTTTCATCATTTATACTTCTATTTAGCGTATAATATCGCAAAGATATGTTGTGATACTTTAAAATTTTAAAGACTCAAATTCGTTTAAATGATGGCATGAGCGGTTGGATCACTTTGGCTAAAATATAATGAGTCGGATTTTTACTAATCTTGTTGGACATCATATATATGTCAAATAGTAACCTCACTTATCCACATGAGTATTTTATAATGCAGGTGTGAAGGAGAAATTTCTAAATTATTTGTTTCTTTTGGGGAAATTCAATTTGATATAGTATTGTTTTGAATTGAAATTTGACTCACTACATATCACAATTGATTTCCCCTAACACCTAGTACGTGGTTTATAATCGAACATTTCCCTATCTATGTTTTATTATTAGTATGCAATTCTTTTTTCCTGTAACACCACCATAGTGTATCTCTAAGGGCTATCAAATAAAACTAGGTACACATGTTGGGTTTAAACCTCCGTCTATTGTCTAAATACCTAGAGCCCATGATAAGGGGATCAATATATACGTTGACTACATAATTTATGAAGATCATTTCTTAGCATTAGGGGAATATATAAACCCCAATTTAATAGAATTATGAGAAATTTCATTGAATTAAAAGATCTTCAATATTTAAATGCACGTACTAGTTAGACTGAACTGACAGTTCTGAAGATATTCAATTTGCAACTTTTAGCAAATAATAATATGCCAAACATATTTATTGATCATACTAATCATAATAGAGAGACTAGGTCTCATATACCTTCTCCAAATTAGACCAAATATATCTACCGATGCTCCTGCATGTCATAAGTGTGGGAGACCTAGCGGTGTAAAAGATAAGAATCCTCGAAAGACTAGATCTAGTAAAAAATTTCGTCACTCTAGAAATCTCTTGAAAAATTATGTCCTCAAGATGTTCGTCTAGAATGCAAAAAAAAAAAAAAAAAAAAAAAAAAAAAAAAAAAAAAAAAAAAACTCAGTAAACTTATAGGTATATGAAATAATCATAATATTGGGAATGCGGAACGACCATATCTGAATATTTTTGAGAAATTGATATATCTAGTTGACTTAGAAATTGCCATAAACCTTTTAGAAATATGCATGGGAGAGATTTATGAAAATATTATAGTTACGTTGTCAACAACACAATAGTCTTTACAATTGCTCATATTATATGCAGGGTTGCAAAACTCGGCCGCCTAGGCGCCTAGGCGCTAAGCGGCACCAAGCCTTGCCGTTTTGGCCTAAAGGCGGCCAAAACTCGGCCGGCCGCCTAGGCGGCCAACTCGGCCGAGTCGACCAATTTCGTCTGATTTTGACCGATTTCGTCTAATTTTGACCGATTTCGTCAGATGTCGTCTTTCATTAATTATTGATTTTAATATTATTATGCCGTTATGACTTATAAATTATCATTATTTCATTTATTTGGATGTTATTTGATTGAATGTTGAAAACAACCTCATTAAAATTGTCGAACTACAAGTTTGTTACTATTTTTTTAAATTTTTTTTGTGCCCGCTTAGCGCCGCCTAGGCAATAGGCGCTGCCCGGCCGCCCGACTAGCGCCTAGCGCCTACTACAACCATGATTATATGACAATCTGGATCAAAAGCTAGGCACTAGAAGTGCCCTGACTATTTAATATATAAAGGATCAATTAAAACATAGCTCAGCTAGCTAAAATAAATGTACTCTCTTTATAACATGTACACCATTGAATGTTAACCCTACAGGTTATAAATGAGTGTTTGTGCGAAAGAGAAATAAAAATAATGAGGTGGTGTGATATAATGTGAATTTTGTAGCCCAAGGGTTCATACAAAGACCTAGAATTGATTTTAATCAAATATGCTCTCCCGCAGTAGATGACATTAAATTTTGCTACATAATATCATTGGCAGTAAATAACAAATTTAGATATGCAACTACTATTTATTTGAAAAGTCTCCGATGGATTTAAAGTTCTCAAAATGATAAGAGATGAAAATTGCAACATGTATATCATTGTATTACAAAGGTCTTTATATGACTTGAAATAGTTAATAATTGGCCGAGTGTTTTTCCTCCTAAATAAGGAAGGAATATGCATATAATATGTGTCATTATGTGTTCATTAAAGAATTTATAATGGAGTTATTTATTTGTTTGTTTATTATCTTGGTCGGGGTTGATGGTATATACATCATTGAAATACATAAAGATCTTGATGATATTAGCTCATGCCTAAAGACGGAACTTGAAATGAAAGACTTGGGAAACTCAAGTATTATCTCAACCCACAAATTGAGTATTTGCTGGAAGAAATTTTACACATTAGTTAGCCTACATTGAAAAACGTCTTGATGATGTTCTTATCACACTAATGGTTGCCTAATAACCTCTTGAAGTAGATAAGGAACCGTTCAGACTTAAAGAGGATACTGAGGATATCTTGGAACCAAAAGTTCATTACTTCATTGTCATTGAAGCACCAATTTAAGACAAGAAGTTCTATAATCGCTACAGGTCTGACATTGTATTTGTAATTAAATTGGTAGTAACATTTAGTTCTTCTCCTACAATAAAATATTGTAATAGAGTTTAACATATCCTTTGGTATCTTCGGGGTACAAAGATTTTGACATTTATATGAGAAACCAATATATGGTTTTGATGGGCTACTTGGGTACTGGCTACTTTGTTTGATCCTCATGATGACAAGTCCTAAACTGATTATGCTATATTTTTTAACCCCCCCCCCCACCCCACCCCCAATGTCACAAATGATAAATGAGTATGTTTCAGAATATTTGAAGAAGTATATATAGCCTCAAAATTCAACCCAGATGAACTCTAGAAGAGTCACAAGATTATTATACAGAATGTTCACTTTTGTGACGAGTTAATAACTCCAATGGTCCTCCGAGTATTAGCGATTTACCAGTTGTGGTCATCCGAGTTTTAAATGACCTCCAATGGCCCTCCATGTTTTAAAAAATAACCACACGTGGTCCTTTTAGGACGTCTCGTGGTCATTTTAAACTCGGGATTTTTTTTTTAAGAATTAGGACCACAGGTGGTTATTTTTTAAAACATGGAGTACCATTGGAGGTCATTTAAAACTCGGATGACCACAGCTGGTAAATCACTAATACTCGGAGGACCATTGGAGGTATTATCAGACCTTTTGTGACAATCTTGAAGATTGTTATCTACACTTATTTCGGAACAATATTTGTATTATATTAGAACGTGTAGACTTTGAAGACTGTTATTTTCAGGGGAGTAAGATTTACTTGAATCAATCATGAAGAATGGGCCATGAAGAATTTTTCCTTTGATTGAGTTTTGATATAATTTTATTAATTAAAGGTTTTTTAAAGAGGCATGCAGCTAGTGCAACACATGAATAGGCACATATCATTACATTAACGAGGCATGAGTATAATTATATTATGTCCAAGAGGGGGGAGGCGGTGGGGGGGGGGGGGAGGGGGGGTCAGGGGCGGGGAGGGGTTGTTATAAATACATTTATGTGGACATTACTAGAGAAATTATATTATGATATTATCTCTTCACCTTTTATAGATTTGTACATATACTGAAACTCTATGTATCATGTATATATTGGATTGAATAATGAATAATAAAAGATTGATTCTCTTTGTATTTCTTGTCTTTCTTTACTTTACTGTATTCCCAGTGGCGGACCCAGTGTGGGGGCAGTGGGGGCAGCTGCCCCCACTCCCCCACCGCACCCCTTTATATATACGTATGTATATGGCACATATATAGCATGAAATATTATATAAAATCAATATTTATGTTGAAAATGCCAATAGTTTGAGTAGCTTAGTTGGTTAAACTTTAAATTTTATGTTATAAAAGGTTTATGTCATGGGTTCAAATCTCATTAGCACCACTTTTAATTATCTTCTCTCTTTCACTTCTTCACAAGATAAATTAAATATTTTTAGTCTACTTTTTATGAATCATTTAATTAACAAATTAAATGCTCTTTTAGTCTAGTTTTTATAAGTCATTTAATTAATGTAGTATACAAGTTTATAATATACTTTATTGTATTCGAATTAATTTAGAAAAATCGATCTAACTAAAAGAAATTAAAATTTAAAAGTATTTATGAATATATTGTTATTCAAATTATTTTATCTAATTGATTATGTTTCATATTTTCTCATAAATATATTGTAATTTATAATGTATTTTGTATTTTAACTTTATTATGGTTGTTTGATATTTTGTTATTGACATTTCTAACATCATTTAATATTTGCCCCCACTCAGATGATTTTCTGGGTCCGCCGCTGTTTATTCCTATTATCTTCCTGCAAACGAGATGATACAACTGTTCGCGCAAGGATCCATCTAGTTTCATAACAATAATAAAATATTCTTATAGTTAAAAGACTAAATAAATAAAGAATCAACTCTTTGTAGTGAATTTATATACGAGGAATGCAAATATATATAGGGATGCACTCAGGTGCGAATAAGTGCCTAGGAAGGAATATGCGAACGAATCAGCGCGCGACACGTGTCCAGATCTAATAGCTTAAAAAAAATGCGGTGGCATTTTCGTAAATAATTGAACATTGAAGTGCAAGTAAAATCACTTACAAGTGCACCTACTTTCACCTATAAGTGCATGTAATTTTGCCTTATTAGCATTCACTTCCCGCAAACATTCATGCACATGGGTGTGTTTATAACTATATGTGCAACTATTTATAACTATAGGTGCAACTACTTATAACTATAGGTGCAACTACTTTCACCTATCAGTGCATGTAATTTTGCCTTGTTAACATTCATTGATCTAAGTTCAGCGGGTAGTAATACCCCTGAAAACCACCCGCAAACATTCATGCACCTAGGTGCAACTACTTATAACTATGTGTGTAACTACTTAGAACTATAGGTACAACTACTTATAACTATAGGTGCACTTAGTATTGATGCTCAGTGTAAATTTTTACTTGCACCTATAATACATTTTACATGCACTTGTAATACATTTTACTTGCACTTCGATGTTCAATTATTTACGAAAATGTCACTGCGCTTTTTAAAAAAAAATCAGTATTTCTCATCCATTAGATCTAGACACGTGGACAGACAGAATCAATTCCTATTTCGCTCCTGGGAGAAGCATTCGCACCTGAGTGCAATTATATATATATATATATATATATATATATATATATATATATATATATATATATATATATGGTTAGGTTCCTGTGAGAACATGTCCTCCCGTGCGGTCAATGCGACATACACCATTAGGTATGTATAAATGCACCGCACATTGTTCGAAAATACACCATTATGTGTTGTGTATTTTTTTTTTTTTTTTTTTTGTGTGGTGCATTTTTTGCCATTTCATTCTAGTGTATTATCGAACACTGTACGGTGCATTTATGAATACCTAATGGTGTATGCCGCACTGACCGTACGAGAAGACATGTTCTCACAGGAACCAAAATATATATATATATATATATATATATATATATATATATATATATATATATGTTCCGGATCAGGTGAGGACTTATCCTTAGGTGAGGACGTGAGGACTAATCCAGATCATCCATTTTGAGTGATCTAAAGGCTACGACAAAACAAAAACGCGCTGCCCAAAAAAGTGGGATGGATGCACAACAATCACACTATGAATGCACAACAAACTGGGACAGAATGCACAACAAACTAACACAGAATGCACAACAAACTGATAATGAATGCACAACAAACTGAGTACGAATGCACAACAAAATGAGTACGAAAAATTAAATTCATTGCATATAATTAAATAACAACCATTGGCTTAATTAAATGAAAGGATCAGATTAGTCCTCACGTCCTCACCTAAGGATAGGTCCTCACCTTATCCAGAATATATATATATATATATATATATATATATATATATATATATATATATATATATATATATATATATATACATATATAGGATCATATGAGAACATGTGTTTAGGTGAGAACGTGAGAAAACATCATGTCCATCCATCTAATATTTTTTAATGGTCTAGATTATATTAAGTGCGTGCGAACGCGCATTAAATGTGTGCAAACACACTAAATCACATTTGCTCACATTTAATGTGCGTTCGCACACACTTAATCTAATCTAAACCATTAAAAAATATTAGATGGATGCACATGATGTGTTCTCACGTTCTCACATAAGCACATGCTCGCACTGGAACTCTAGCATACATATATATATATATATATATATATATATATATATATATATATATATATATGGAAGGGATCATGTGCATTTGTCGCTTTTCGTGCGGTTGTGCGGTTGATTAATACGCGTGAGTTTTATACTTAATGTGCGTGAGTGTTGTGCTTAATGTGCCTGAGATTTGTACTTAATGTGCGTAATGTTAATGTGTGTGAGTTTTGTACTTAATGTGCCTGAGTATTGTGCTTAATTTGCGTGAGATTTGTGTTTAATGTGCGTGGGTAGTTCATAATTACGAGCTCAGAAGGAAGCAGAACAGAAAACTCACGCACATTAACGCCCAAGCTTCTTGTTACTTCTTCCTTCAATTTGGCCATGGATTCTGGATTATCAGCTACCTTCAGTGCAGTTGAATGTTTATATAGACAGCGCACGCACAGCAAAATTTGCACACCAACTAAGTGTGAATTTCTGTTGTATTATTCCCATAATTCTTAACTACTATAGCCACCTCCGCATCATCATCATCAGGGAGGGGGCAATGGCTACTGGGGATGGGGAAGAAGATGACATCCATATTTTCTGCTGCATTTTACACATTCACGCACATTAAGTACAAATCTCAGGCACATTAAGCACAATACTCACGCACATTGAGTATAAATTTCACGCACATTAATCAACCGCACAATCGCACAGGAACCTTTCACTATATATATATATATATATATATATATATATATATATTAGCGCTCAAATGCGGCAGTGGCTTTAGGTGCGGCGGTGCGGCTATATCAGCATCGTCCATTTTGCTTAATCTAACGGCAGCGGCTAATTTCTGAAGATTTAAAGATTTAAGCGCGTCCTGATAAGTGGGGGGTGTTATGGTAATTGTAGTGGTTATTTATATCGGTCGCTTGTCAGAATAGACCAACAGTGTTAACAAAAGACACCAATAGTGTTAGGAAAAAGCACCACAATGAAATGCACAAATACACCAAAAAACACACAACACACTCAAAAAATACACCATATAACTCACCACCCCAATGGTGTATTTCCGAACAGTGTGTGGTGCTTTTATTCATACCTAATGGTGCGTTCTGGTGATGCATATCTAATTTGTGATATGTTTTTTTGTTGTGCATTTTCTAACATGGATGGTGTATATTTGTATAACTATTAGTGCACCCGCACTAACCGCATTGGAAGGCGCGGGCGCACCTAAACTTGACACCAACACGAATCCTCAAATACACCACAGTAAGGTTAATAATGCACCAATAACGAACATAAAACACACAACACTATGATTTGATCTATTCAGGTGCCCAATGACGACTTTAATCTTGCAGTTCGCGTAGTGTGAGAACGTGCGCAAAAATATCGGAAAAGCCTGGATGAATGTGCACTAGTACAGAAACAGTCATTCGCGTCCAAAGTTATGGCTAATTCGCGTCCAAAGTAGCTGGGACGTAGATGTCGAGGACGCTTATTGTATAAACAATCAGCGTCCAAAGTAACTTTGGATGCGAAAAATGATAATTCGCGTCCAAAGTTCAAGAACTTTGGATGCCAATTGTCATTTTAAAAAACAAAATATTACCTTTGCGCGTCCAAAGTTCATGAACTTTGGACGCGCAAAGGTAATGTTTTGATTTAAAAAATTATAATTCGCGTCCAAAGTTCGTGAACTTTGGACGCGTATAGTAAAAAAAATTAAATTTTTTTTTTTTTATAAAACTACCAAATTTTTTTTTTTCCTGTACATTCCAACATAACTACCAAATAATATATTTCAACATTAATCAATTTAAGATGTATACTACACACCAATTCTATCAACTAAAACACACTAATCTAAAATTTCAAATTCTAATAACATTTTACTACAAATAAACTAGAAATTCTACAAATAAACTGCCCAAATTCCTAAACATCCATCCATGGTTAATCTATATGCTGCAGCCCTAATGAACTCAAAAGAAAATGATTTAGAGTTAATACCACCCAAGGTCCCTCGAGCTAATGGTTGTTTTTGCAGTAGATATCTCTTTCTGCCATTCCTGTATTTCCTTTTCACAATCTTCTGATTTGGATTTCCACGCTACACAAAAATAGGACTTATAAATCCTTTGGATTTGGATTGCATTATGGGAACAAAATTAAAGGTCATTCCAAAAAAGAACTTTTGTATGATTATTTACCTTGGCAACACTAATAGTTTGCTGCCCTATAGCTTCATGGATGGTCACCCTATCATGTTCCTTCATGCTATCAAAAAGCACATCATTAGGCTTGCATATCAAAGCTAGACTTATAGTTCATCGGTTAGCTTTATCAAAGCTAGACTTATAGTTCATCGGTTAGCTTTATCAAAGCTAGACTTAAATACAAACTTCAAACCAAGTCTATATAGTACATAAAAGATTAAAAACCATATTTATCACACCATATCAAGCAGTAACACTAGCATCAAGTCCCTATAAGTTGAAGTGGGAAAACTCACAAAAATTGGCTAGAATTTGTAGAAAGCCTAAAACATCAGCAAATTACACTTACATTAACACAAATCACACCATGAGGCATGGTTCACCAAGCAAGGTGTATCGCAAGCATATAGTGATGTCTATTTTCCGAGTGGGGATGATACCTGCAATAAGGGGATGATACCTGCAATATGAGACGAGATGTTGCATAAGGAGCACAATGACTCCAAACCATCCTATAATATCTTACAAGTAAAGATGACTATTTTCCGAGTGAAAATGAAATTTAATAATTTAGAAATGAAAGCACACCGTAATATGAAGAAGCAACCATAAAGACACCAAATATGGTAGTAAATAAGCTGTTACTTGAGGTATTTGTAGCATACTACATCTGCATCTGCTTCTAGCCAAGGTTTTCCAGAATCAATGGCTTCAAGTGTTCCTAGTTCAGGCTTCCTCTCTTTTACCTACACCAAACAGAATATAAGCTCATGGAGGAGATATCATTGATTAGAAGCCAGGTATAAAACTTGCTTTCAGTATTTTTCTGTTATAATATATGGAATATGAAGTGCATAAAATCAGAAATAACACATCAATCCTAGGAAAAAGAACGACTTGTTAACATACATTACTCCTAGATGATCAAACACAACTACCAGCAGTCTATTCCACTGAGAACACACCTGATTACAGGTGGGATTGAGACTGGTTACTACAATGCCCTACACATAAATGAAGATAAAACAAAATAAATATAAGCAAATGCACAGAGTCACAGATAATATTATTCGCTCTGGATTACATACTCCTGTTCAATAATTTACAGTGCTTAGATTCAAATCAGTGGCTCTGAGAACATGAAATGTAAATATGTAATGAACTTAAGTACAAGTGTAATTAAATAGGAATAAAACACTGATTATGATTCAAGAAACTTCATAAGCATCAATTGCCAAACATACAAATGACCGACTTGCACTTCAAAATCATAATTCATCATCATAAATCTGTAGAAACTACCTTTAACCTTCAGAATGAACTAACAATTTTCTATATATGTTAATTTGCACTTTCCTACCAAAGTCACCAATTCCAGATTCTAGAATACATAGCCATAAACTTTTCTAAATACCAGCCAGATTACAAACTACCAGACAATCAGACATACAAATCAATCAAGCATACTCAGACCTTATTAATTACCATTTGTCCAAAAAATATAAACAAAATAGCATATGTTATAATTCAGCACAAGTCATAGACAAAACGGGAAAGAAATAGTAGCATACTGCTTTGCGGAGCTTCTTTATCAAGGCCAAAGGCTTCCTCTTCAAACCCCTCTTGAACCTATCATTCAATCAACACAACCAAATTCAAAACTAAATCTCCGCATATTCAAATACTACGCAATCCATACAATCGAATAGCACAAAATACCTTCTGCGAGCTCGGGCAGTGAAGAGTTTGACGAGGTCATCTGTGGACATATCAAGGAGCGCATCAAGATCCACACCTCTGAAGCTGAACTTCTTGAACGTTCTCTTCTTTGGCTGCCCTGCCGCCACATCGTGTTCTGCATCAGCCTGTAGTCAAATCGCACAGCTTCATCAGTGAACATGGCTTACCGGAATACACACATACTGGTGCACATATGGACATAAAAGAGACAGAAACCTGCAACACCAAGTTAACACTATTTAAGAGAAAAATAAATAAATTATGGCACAATGACTCACCTTATTCAAAGTTCGGACAGCAGCAAACCTAAGAACTGGCTTGGAAGAGCTTAAAAACCGACCATAGTAAGACTCTTAACAAAAGCAAAAGGAGCCGTACTTACTGGCTTTCTACCAGCAAAAACTTCAAATAGTTTGTCTACAACTTCTAAGGTGTTTGTCTCATCAAACGAAACAGTGATCTGGAAGGAAAGTGCAGGTCTAATTACTTCACAATATAAGTACCAGGCACCTTTTATCTCTATATAATTCTTGTATAAAAGCCTATGCATGAAATCAATAAGAATATAAGATTATTTTCTCTTAGCTAAATACTTTACAAAGTACACCTAACCAGACTTATAGTATTGTTGTCCACAACCCGCAAGTTAATTTCATTTTTGTATGCAGCTTCAGCAATTGCTTTTGCATCAGTGCACTTAACCTTCACAGTGTCAAAGAAGGGAAAATGCCAATGTTCCAGCAAGATCATAAACACGTTGTGCAATTGTTTTAAGCCCTTCAGGTTCGTCAGGAATAACAATGAGAACTACTTAATAAATTATTTTAAACTAAAATAAGAAAAATTTCTAAAATTTCTAAAATATATTAAAAAATAAATAATATAACAAGGGCAACTTACCTGAACAACCAGCGGCGACCTTTGAAGCAGAACAGCCGGCGGCGACCTTCGAAGCAGAACAGCCGGCGGTGACCTTTGAAGCAGAACAGTCGCCAGCGATCTTTGAAGAAGAACGATCGGCGATCTTTGAGGAAGAAAGACCCGCGACCTTTGAGGCAACGACTGGCGAGGGGCGGAGGCGGCGGCGACTTGCGAACGACTACCGGCGGAGGGTAAGACGATGGAGGGCGGCGGCAGTGGCTATGGAGAATGCATTGGCTGTGGGGGAAGACGGGCTGCAGTGATTTTATTTGAAAATAAAAACCCTAATATGTTTCCGAGGTCTACGTCCAAAGTAATATCTTGGGACGCGGATTCGTTTTCTAAATAAGACGCGCGTCAATATGCGTCCAAAGTGATATAACTTTGGACGCCTATTATTTTTAATTCAAAAAAAATAAAAAACAAATTATATTGTGGCATTTTAATTACAAAAATGCCACCGCACTACACTTTAGGCGTTCAAAGTTCAAATTTTGGACGCGAATTATTCAATTTTATTGATATTTTTTGTACTAGTGGTGTTTCGTTGAATTTATCTAATCTAATGGCCTACATTTAACTGCACCGCCGCACCTAAGCGCACTGCCGCACCTAAGCGCACTGCCGCACTTGAACCTTCCCCTCTCTCTCTCTCACTATATATATATATATATATATATATATATATATATATATATATATATATTTGCATTGTGACAACGAATATTAACTCATTTGTGTGTGCCATGAATGGTACATAAATATTTTATTAATAAGCGATTCTTATAATTAATTATAGATTACAAACACCAAAAAAAATAAAATTATAGATTACAAATTGTGAAGAGAGTCAAACACGTGATAAGTGAGAAAATGCATTTATTTCGCTTAAAAAAATCTGAATATCTCATATTCTTAATGGTTAACAGAATGATTATACAAACATGGATGTTCTTAATTAAGTATTGTAAATTTAACCATTTTAATAAAAAGAATAATTAAGAAGATCGAAAACTAAAATATTATGTTTTTTTGAAAGGAGACTGTGCGGCATTTATTCAAAATATGCTGAAATAGAGTGGGGCGGATCAAAGTCCGCATACATACTAGTTAGCTGATTAATCACAGTAGACACTAATATATGGGCTAAATAATTGTCTAATCTAGGAACATAATGAATTAAGCAGTAATCAAAAGACGATAAACTAGTTTTGCAACTATCAATGACATAGCCTAAATAAGACCGAGATGAGTTCGTCGTAGATGAAAGATATTGTTGGAGCACCAAACAATCTGTGTAGAGGTCGATAGATTTTACTTCTCGATTTCTGAGTCATGACAAAACTTCCTTGCATGCAAAAGCCTCCGCCATTAAAGGCGAAAAACAGCGTATGATAGGAGCGGTCATAGCCGACACATAACCTCCCTGTGAATCCAAAATAATAGCCCCCATCGCTACCTTGTTCGTTCGTTGATCGTATGCCGCATCGAAATAACAGTGGTCCTTCCTGTTCTGCATAGTATGGCGTGACACAATCGGTGAAGGCAATTGCGGTGATGGCAGCATAACTGCAGCGTCTTCTCTCGGCGTGCGTTCTATCGCAGCAGCTCGGCTGGACATCTCCGGCATGACACGGGTAGGTGGCACCGTGGAGTTGGCTGGCGGATTTCGTCGAACGGGATGTACAACTTTCCATGCATTCACGGACGATAATGCCATTGCTATTACCTTTTGGGGCCTGGGCAAATTCGCTTCCCATACAGCTCCATTTCTTGTTCGCCATATGTAATATAAAAGGGCCACTGCATAAACAATCCCATCATCATCTAAAATATTCATCAAATCATTAAACCAATCACTGAAAATATTCGTGACACTACTGGGATTGGAAGGTTGGATTGTGCCCAAATGTTCATCGTATAGTCACATGTGATCAAAGAATGCACAAGACTCTCATGCCCAACTCCACACATTGCACAAGTTGGATCAATATCTACTCTCTTTATAAGTAAGTTCTCCGTAGTGGGTAAAATATCATTTAGAGCTCTCCATAAGAATGTTTTCCACTTTGGGGGACTTTTAGGCTCCATAATTTTTTCCACTTATCAAAGGTTCCTAGCGGTTGGGAGTAGTTGCCTATCACCGCCTTATATCCCTCTTTAACCGAATATTCTCCTCTTGGGTCTCCATACCAATACCACATATCTTCATAATCAGGAGACATAGGTATTTTTAAAATTTCCTCCACATCCTGGGGTATGAAAATATCTGTTAAAATTTCCTGATCCCAGGTTCCAGTTTGTTGATCCATCAGACCCACCACTTTTGCCTGAGCCAACTGAGGCGGTTTTTCTGTTAAAACTCTTGGTTGATTCTCATCATGCAACCATGGGTGGTCCCAAATCAAAGTTGATTTGCCGTTACCAATCATGCGCCTAACTCCCCCACAAATTAACCCTTTAGCCGCCAAAATACTCCGCCAACAGAAACTCGGATTATTTCCCAAGCATGCCTCATAAAAAGAACTAGTTGGGTAATACCTGGCTTTATACACTCTTGAAACCAGTGATTGTGGCTGTGTCAGGAAGCGCCATGCCTGCTTACCTAACATTGCAAGATTAAAGGCTCTCAATTCTTTAAAACCTAGCCCTCCAAATTTCTTAGGAATGCACAGTTTATCCCAGGCTTTCCAATGGATGCCCTGATCATTCCCTGATCTCCACCAGAACCGATTCATAGTTCTCTCAATGGCCGTACATAAATTCATAGGCAGAAGAAACACGCTCATTGAGAAAGTAGGCATAGATTGAGCCACACTTTTCAGTAGAACTTCCTTCCCCGCCTGTGATAAAAGCTTCTTATTCCACGAGCCAATCCTCTGCTTTATCTTATCCTCAATATAAGAAAATGCCTGTCTTCTATTCCTGCCCACAAATGATGGAAGTCCCAAATATTTCCCAAAGTTCTGAGCCTGCACTACTCCCAATATACCAACAACCTCCTCCCGAACTTCATCATTTGTATTCTTACTGAAACATATATTCGATTTATGATAATTAACCGCCTGACCAGACATGTTTTCATAAGTTGCTAAACAGCGTTTAATCACTCCTGCTTCCTGATTATTAGCTTTGAAAAACAGCAGACTATCATCAGCAAAGAATAAGTGGGTAATGGAGGGCGCCCATCTCGCAACTCTACAACCATGTATTTCTCCTTTCACTTCTGCCTGGTTTAACAATATTGAGAGGCCCTCAGCACAAATAATGAACAAATAAGGTGACAGAGGATCACCTTGCCGTAAACCACTAGTTGGGGTTATTTGATCGCTCTTTGAACCATTGATCAGCACACTATACGACACAGTGGTTACACACATCATTAATAATTCCACCCATCTGTCATCAAAACCTAGTGCTTTCAACATCCGTTGTAAGAAAGACCATTCCATACGATCGTAGGCTTTTGCCATATCCAGCTTCAAAGCCCCCCAGCCGGCTAATCCACATTGTTTTCTGTTTAAATAATGGCCAACCTCCGCAGCTACCAATATATTGTCCGTAATAAGTCTTTCAGCTATAAACGCACTTTGGGATTCAGATACAATATTCTCCATCAGCGGCTTCATTCTAGCTGTAATTACTTTTGCCATAACTCTGTAAACAACATTACTCAGTGCAATTGGCCTATAATCAGAAACCATTTCCGGGGTTTTCTTCTCCGGATCAAAATAATATTCGTTTCATTTAACCCATCCGGTAAAGAGCAATTATTCAGGAAATTCACAATAAAAGTAGAAACATCAGAACCTACCACATCCCAAAAATGTTGGTAGAATCCGGGATTCATCCCATCCGGTCCCGGTGCCTTATCCGGATACATTGAAAACAAAGCCGCTTTTATTTCATTCTCCTCAAAAGGGCGTACAAGCCTCTCATTCTGTGCAGTAGTCACTCGGGGTTGTATACTCTCAAAGAAATCATCATTAACCATAGGTGAACTCGAGCTAAAAATACCACGATAATAATTCAAGATAATACCTGTCATGGCCTCTCCCTCTATCCAATCCCCATTATCATTCATAATTTTAGTAATGGTATTCTTTTTCTTTCGGTGAGAAGCATACCTGTGGTAAAACTTGGTGTTTGTGTCCGCATCCTTGAGCTAATGCTGTTTGGCCCTCTGCCTCCAGTATACATCTTCCTGCAACTCAATA